ACACATGATCATTCTCTAAATTAGCCGATGTGGGACTTTCATCATCCAACAGTAGACTAATTCAAAATATTGACCGATTCGACTTTCAACTCGACCAACTTGAGTGGATTGAACATTCCAACTTCCGTTCGCGTGTTGTTGAACATAACAAAAAATATCCTCTATATATAATATATATATTGAAAACGTGTTACTAAACATTATAATTTGTTGATACGAGGTTATTAGTAAGACATTTCTAACATAAACACGTGTGTTTTGTGTTATAACCAATTTAGGTTTGAATAATTTAGGGTATTTAGTGTAATTTTATGTTAGATGAAGGTCTAATTTGCAAACATACATTTAATTAGAAAGCATGCAAAAGCAAAGGACTTCATGACGTGAGTTTCCCGCAATCAAATCATGGTCAAAGAAACTGTAATCAGAAGTATTCATGATCTGGATTATCCGCACGGGGTGCACCATAATACTGTACGCCTCACCGCACCCAATACCCAACTCTTCCACGTTACGATCTTCGAAGCTCGAGCCAAGACCCACCTCCTCTGTAACCCAAAAGTCTCCCGCGAAGCAAAACAGTCCATTTTTAGCACACAACTCCGATCACCGTCGTCCACGGTCTATTTCAACGGTCACTATCCACCGTCTCTGCATATGAGTACTCCAGCAGTACCGGGGGTAAGCTCCGTTACAATTGTTTGTTTTAATCTTCTCCAAATTGGCGGTCGATCAGTCGCATTCAGATCTCGCAGTTCGTCTTTTCTATCTCGGAACGTGTATGCTAGATCTTGACATTTTATCGAAATTCGGCGACGTTTCTAATGATGTTTTGTTGTTTTGTGTAATTCGTTTTGTAATTGGATAGGGGCCTGGCTTGTTTACTGGATTCACGAAGCTATGCAAGGGCTTAGCTGTGGTGCTGGTTGGCGGGCATATCTTGGTTCAGGTTTTTCCTGCGGTTGTTAGTTATCTCGCTCTTATTCCAGCCAGGTATCTTGTTTGGAGAACTTAGTCTTTGGATTAGTGGTAGTGATAACCGTGCAAAGCTGATGCGTTCGTTCTTGCAGTAATGCCTGTAGGTTACGGGTTAGAAATGTCTTTGTTTTCTCGAGTCGAAATTTAGTCAGGAAAAAATCAAGAATCTTGTGATCACAGATGAAAATTTATTGAATTCTTGTATCTGCTAGGATTTCAGGTGGGCAGGTATATGTTACATGTTTTGAAATGATCATAGTGATCCAGAGGCTTGTCTTGTGTCCTGTGGGATTGATGGAAGTTAGTCAATAGTTTAGTTTCCATCCATGGAAATTTGGTCGTAATTGTAAAATGCAATGACTCTGTTGATTCCTCTATTCAATTTATTGGCCATAACATCCAAGTAGCGGTTTACCCTTCTTCAGATAAAACGTTTATGTTGATAAGAAGTTGCAACAAACTTTTTGAGAGGCTACTGTTGTGGATTATTGAAAGAAGTAGTCCAACGCTGGCTAATTAGGAGGAAGATCATGGGTTTATAAGTAAGGAACACTATCTCCATTGATATGAGGCCTTTTGGAGAAACTAAAAGAAAAGTCATGAGAGCTTATGCTCAAAGTGAACAATATCATATCATTGTAGAGAGTCGTGGTTCCCAACAGCTACATGATCTACTGCTTTAGGATTCCAAGGGTTATGTTCCAGAGGCCTAAGTTTACTGCTTTGATGTCTAGAACTCTTTCATTTTTTTAATCTGATGTTTTCACTGCTACACAATCTGAATTATTAACACGAGTGTGAAATGTGAATCCCTTATTATTCTGAATTGGCTTTAGTTATTTAACTACAATATTTTAGTTTCCTGATAGGAAGAAAGATTATTAATAAGAGTAGAAATGTAGAGAATGATATCCTCTGCACTAGAGTATATCATTTTATATATAAATGATCCGAGTAAAAGTATGCAAAAATGATCCCACAGTCTAAATGTTTACACTCCTGGGCCTGCAAGAGGTAAAATATAAACATCTTTTTCAGAAAACTTCTCCATCTGAGTATTTTTGTTAGCAAGTCTTCCGTTCTAACTCGACTACTCAATGAAGAGCTGAAACTGCAATATGACCTCAATCTTTTACTAGCCATCTTCTGATAACCCATAATTTACTACAAAAATCAAAATGGAGAAATATATCATTTACCAAAGAGGTGAAGGGCCATTAATTTAGGGAAAACAAGGATGACTGATGCAATGGTATTATAGATATGAAAGCTCGATCAACTGCAAATCATGAGTCATTGTCATTCTATTGGATCATCTATTCATCAAAATACCAAAATTGTCATTATCTTTCAGTATTCTATCGATGTTTTTCACTGCTTATATATAGAATTATCAAGCTAAGACCATATTGAATCTCTCACTCTCAACTACAACAATAAAACTATTGATCAAAATGTAGAAATTTGTGCCCAGTTTAATTCATTATTTTATTTTATTTGTGTGATGTGGGAATATTTCCTCTGTAGTGTAGGAATCGATTAAATTCAGGGAAGGCAGGTATCTGACCGAGTTTTGAGTAGTTAAATTTACATGGAAAATGTGTAAACAATAAATGGTTGGGTCATTCATTCCTTTGAACTTCTATTTTGTAGGACTATTCCTTTTGCTTGGAATCTCATAACTGCTGGTTATGTTGAACAGACAGTATATGGGGTATGCACTCACGTTGTCATACACTATTTTGTTTCCCTTTACAGAATCATAATTTGAACATATCTCACTATTTTTTGTTCAATCTTCACTGGAAGTTAGACTCACTGAGAGCCATATATTGCAGGTTATTGTCAGCACAGTTGGTCTCCTTTTTGTTGGGAAGCTGCTTGAACCCATCTGGGGCTCTAGAGAATTTTTGAAATTCATCTTTGTAGTCAATTTTATAACTTCTTTATGTGTCTTTATCACAGCAATTGCCCTATACTATATTACACAGGAGGAAAGTTATCTGTAAGTGCTACCGAGTCCTCGTGCATCAAAGGCTCTTTTTAGGCATACTCGTGTACATGTCTTTAGCTGATAGCGCATTATGGATTTTCATTTAAGCCATTTTTTGTCCGATTCATTCCATATAAGTATTTTACAGTCTCCCTTTATCAACTCCTCTTTAAACATGTTTCATTTTACGCCTCTCGGTCTTTCCATACATCTTGTTTACATATTTTTTTTCGGTCTCAGTTATCTGCCTGTATCTGGTTTCTATGGGATTCTAGCTGGGTTCTTGGTTGGGATCAAACAAATCATACCTGATCAAGAGTTGCCATTATTGAAACTGAGAACTAAGGTATGAAAAATGTAGATAGCCATTTCCAAATTTTGAATGGTTTTTATCAGAGTTTTTCTTGAACGCTCTTTTGGGCTTTGCTTGAAACTTCATGCAGTGGTTGCCATCTCTTGCTGTATTAGTATCCATTGCTGTAAGCTGTTGGACAACAGGGGCAGCAACGTATCTTCCAACAATAATATTTGGAACATACATCAGCTGGATTTATCTGAGATACTGGCAGAGGAAACCTGAAACAAAACTGAAAGGCGATCCTAGTGATGATTTTGCATTCTCTTCATTCTTCCCTGAACTCCTACGGTATTCTGTTTATCTAGAAGTTCCTTTTTCTACCTTTTAAGCTTCTCTTGCCGATGTTTTCAGGAATATTCTGTGTTCTTTCTCTCCATAGTCCATAGCGTACTATGACTCTTGATGTTCCTGTGCAGGCCAGTCATTGATCCAGTTGCATCAATATTTCATCGTCTGCTTTGTGGAAGATCTGAATCCTCTAACGATTCCGAGGACTATACTGCTGCAGGTGCCCCGCTGCCCGGTTCAGATCCCATTGAGGCATCTCGACGGAGGTAATATTTGCTAATATTTTTCTTCTGACTCATAAGGTTAAGTGTAAAGAATAGTAAAGATTGAAAATTCTACTGGTTGCAGAGAAAGGGGAGCAAGAGCTTTGGAAGAAAGACTGGCAGCTGAGAGATTGGCTGCAGCCAGAAGTGGTCAAGAGTCGGGAAGAGATGCAACAGAGAATGTTTGATAATATAATCCTATATAAGTTGGCGTTCATCTGATGATCAACTACTTGGGGGGGACTGTGCAGTATATCAAGAGGTCCTCTTTTCTTTATTCTGTTATGCAATTTTGCTTTGCACATTCCTTCTGAGTTGCAAAAATGTTGCTTCATTTATGCCCTTTGCAGCATTATTGTGGATTTATTTGTATACAGCCCAAGATATATAGAGTACAATTTCCTCCCAAGTTTCTCCCACTTTTATTTATCTATTTATTAGGACTAAAATACATTTTTTATCGTTGAAAAGTTTCTATTTCGCCTTAAATTGTGAAAATAGAGGTTTCTTAGCTTTTAAGATTTGAATTTAGTTTCTATTTACTCGTTTGTACAAAGGATTTGGAGACAGAAACGGGCAAAGATTTGTAATACCCTTATTTGATATAAGGTTTACGGAATAACGCATTCTTATAAGGTTTACGGAATAATGTATTCTTAGGCATGGTTCATACAAAGGATTTGGAGATATAAACGAGTAAAGATTTGTGATACCCTTATTTGATAAAAGGTTTACGGAATAATATATTTTCAGTCAAGGTTTATACTCATAAATAATAATAATCAATACACGTATAAAGAACTTTCTTTTTGCCTCCCTTATATTTGTAATTTTATTTTGAATATACTTTAATCAAATCTTGGTAACCAAAATTAGTCTAATTAATTATTTAATTGAAGTATTCAATAATATTTTATTTTAATATATATTTAATTCGTTATTTTAATATAATTTTAATTAGTTCCGGTAATTGTAAACCTTAATTAATTTATTCTAATTAATTCTAATTAATTAAATATTTTAATGTAATGAAGCAAATTAGCAAACTTTAGCCATGTTAGCATTAATGTAGGCTGGTTTTCAAAGTCACAAGGCAAAAAAGAAAAGCAATGGTGAGACATTAGGATAAAAAGTAGAGTTCATTATGTACTTTAAAGCATCTTAAGATAAGTGCATAAAAAGAAAGCCCTGAAAACACCCCTTCCCTTTCGCTTTCAATCCAAAAACCGCTTAATTTTCTAACTTTACGATACTAAATAGCAATATAAAATGACATATCCACTGTTAGTAACGATCCATCCTGTCCTCCAACCATCTCCACCTGCAGAAACAAAATGAAGTAAAACAGTGTCGAATATTTAAAAGTACAGAGACTAAAATGAAATGACCAAGAGCGATGAATTACGTACATCTTGTGATCCCGTCTGGGTCCGATTTTGGTCATATGATTCTCGCCGTATGCATAATTCTCTTCAGCTCGCTTGGCGTTTCGGAATGCACAACAACCGATGGAGTAAACGACAATGAAAAAAATGAGTATCACAACATTGAGAATAGAGAGCTTATGCCAGTCTTTCCTTGCAGTCTCAAGCACACCTGCTTTGCACGAGTCGCACTCGAAGCACAGCACGTTGGGCGCTCCGTTCCACCGATAGCAATCGGGGTCTTGACCGTTCTCGTTGCATGACGCCGGCGGCTTGCAGCAGCCCGACTGCATGCCCAAAATTTACTTGAAAACCGTGCTTGTTTTCTAATCATTTCTTTACTCCAAATTAAAAAAAATAAGGGAGTACCTGAATTGGAGTGATGTCCCTTTGCAAGTAATTAAGAGGAGTCGAAGAAGGAAGTTGATTGCAAGTATTAGACCCCAAAATACAGCTTCTAATAGTGACCCAATTCCGAGGATCATCCACTCTCTTCCTTAGCCACGTCGAGTAATCCCCCAGCCCATGCTCGCCGCCGCCGCCGCCTTTACTGGCCACAACAAGCCCAAAAACTGTGAGGCCCAAGAGCGTGGCAATGAGCAGCAACATGACGAACAAATAGAGCCAGAGCGCCCAAGCTACATTGAAACAGGCCCCCACGAACCCCGCCAGCGAAATGACGAGCACCACAAAGCCGACCACCAGCAGCGGCGTCTGCAGAAACCCCTCGCACGTCGTGCTGTTCCGAGCCATCCATAGGGCGCCGCCGATGATGGGGATTGAGGCTAAGAGCGTTAGGAAGTTCAGGAGTCCGATCACTGAGTTGCTTAGTTTGTTCATCACTTTGGATTTTGGGTTTTTCTGAAATGGACGGAAGATTTATTGGGTTTTTTTAAAATTTTGTAGAAAGGGGATTGAATTGAAAGGATTGTAATTCAAGCTTTGAGAGGTTCTAATGGGAGGTTTATAGTTTGAAAATGTTTGTGAACCTTTTGCTTTTTCAAATTTCTTTGGCTCGAAGGTAACCCCGAAAGAATTCTCTTATTTTTATTTCAACAAGATCCATGATTCGAAACTGACCTCTTGACCGCTAGTATATATTGTCCTTCAGGATCCAGTGTCCTTGGCATTCGTTTCTTTCTCTAATCGATGTGGAACTCCCACAAACTCCACTCCATTCGGGGCTAGCGTCCATGTTGGCACATTGTCTCCTATCTACCCCTTCGGGGAATAGCCTCCTCACTGGCATATCGCCCGGTGCCTGACTTTGATACAATTTGTAACGACTTGGGCCCACTAGTAGCATATATTGTCCTCTTTGAGCTTTTCCTTTTAAACTTCCCCTCAAGGCTTTTGCTAGAAAAAGTTTCCACCCCTTACAAAAATTATTTCGTTCTCCTCCCGAATATCACAATTTATACTCTATTATGAACACATGATATCATGATTTTTTTTTTATTATGTTTTATGCGCTGAGATATGTTTGAATTGGCAAGAAGTAATATATTTTTTTAACACGAAAAAATGAGTTGGATATAGATTTAAACCTTTAATTTCGACCGAAACAATATATTTTAATTACTGATATGTTTATTTTGATCCAAAGAGTCGATCTCTTAACTATTAAGATATGATCATGTTGTAATTCATGATGATATTTTGAATTTTGAGTACTTTACTCTTTAACTTTGTTGGTCTAGTGAGAGAAATAATGGGCCCATCTATACACAATTGTATTAAAATATATTTACGAAATTGCCATTGAGAAGAGAGTCTTAGTCTTAAGGAAGAGAGGAGGCATCTATTCTTTATGAGATTTATAAAGGCAAGTAAAGAACATTTGGATTTGTGCATTTTGGTCATACCATATTCTTATATATATATATATATATATATATATGTTCATATTTGTTGGGCCCAATAAAGGCCCATGTTTCTTATTGGGCCTCGTTGTATCGTAGTCTATTTTCATGGGCCTTGATTTTCAGAATTTGAAATGGAAATTATATCAAATAAATAAAGATGTATTTTATTAATATTTAAATCCATACTAATGTATAATCATTTAGAAAAAAAAAAATATATATATATATATCACATTAATACTAGGAATATATTTGACGATCTGACCTTTTATGTCATTCACATGTTGGATGATGAAAGTCCCACATCAGTTAATTTAGGGAATGATCATGAGTTTATAATCAATGAATGCTCCCTCTATTGGTGTGAGGCCTTTCGGGGGAAGCGCAAAGCAAAACCATGAGAGGTAATGCTTAAAGTGGACAATATCATACCATTGTGAAGAGTCGTATTCGTCTAATATTGGATTTGAAAACGTTTTCATTTCAACCACGTACATTATAAATTGATTATTATTTTCAATAGTGTTATGAGTGAAATATAAACGTAATTGAATAAAATAAAACAAACGGACTCAAAAGAACCCTGCACGTCCAAGTTAATATTTTCAAATTCAAGTTCCAATAGAACGAGAAAAAACCCGTTCGAATTATTAGATTAACAAAATATAGAAAACCCGAGTAAAAAAATTATAAACGTATTAATACAATTTAATTAAAGTAAGTCAAAACCGTTATTTACTGTGACAATCTTAATTAATAATAGAAAGTACCATTTTTAAATTTTGTAATACATTCAACCACTCCAAATATTTTATCTATAAAATAAACAAAATACAACTCCATAGGTATTTTTTCAAATTCCAACTTTGACCCTAACCCTAGCCCTAGCGGCGAGCATTTAAAAGAAGCTCCAAATCCACCGGTGCGGCATTTAATGACTTCAGACTCTCTCAGAATTCATTTACCAAAAATAAATAAATAAATAAAAATAGCAGAATTGCCTAATTTGGTTAATTTTTTCGTAAAATTGGAAAACCATTCCCCGGAAATTACATTCCAAGACATAGGGGTAAAACCGTCAGTTTGATTAAAAATAGCAAAAGTCCACGTGGCAGATTATGGTTCTTGCACTTGCTGGGTCAGGAGTCGGGAAAACCGGATATTACCGACAGATAATGAAGATACCGGGAAAGATTCTGTGACATCTTCTTCACGCGCCCAACTTGACTTGAAGAGCGCGTGGTCCATGTCACAATTTTTCCTTTGACTTCACACGTGCCGTCCATGCGTGCCTTTAAGCTTCTGTACTTCTATTCCAATTTCGGTCTTTTGAATGCGTTTTTCAATATCACAGACTGGCTTTTTTTTTAATGCACGTTTTTTTCATTAATTATGTCACACAAAATCAAATACATTTAATATATCAAATCATAAATTATTAATTCTGTTTTTTAATGTTATTTATTTATTAACATGAGATGTACATAGTCCAGCTGGATTGAATCGAAGAAATTTTTTGACCAGCCCAAAGGTTCGGGTTAGCTGGATTCGTAACTCGACCTAAAATTTTTCACAACCCAACCCAACCTGAAATTTTTGGATTGGGTTGTCGGGTGGTTAAAAAAACTTCATTTATCCGCCCTTCATAATTATTCAATGCAATTTTAGATAAAATATATTAAAAATTTATAAATAAACCCAAATCAACAATTAAGTAAGAAAAATACGAAAAAGAAGAAGAATCCATAGGTGTAGGATTGAATGGGTAAAGCCGTGGCTGGATTGAATCCTTCGAGATGCTCTCTTTTTAAGACTTATACGAGAGGATTCGGCTATAGCGGCAACCCAGGAATCTCCAGCCACGTGGCGTTCCAACAACGAATGGTTCAGGTTCAATAGTTTACCTCGAACAAGAGGCATTCGGGAAGCAACTAGTCGCTTCGGGACAAGCTTCTATCAGGCCCCGCTTTCTTTTCATTCATCAGCGGCTTTCTCGATACGAAAGAAAAGGGAATAAAAGAATACGAGCTAAGCGAGTGGATTCCAAGTGTGACTGTTGGGTCTGGATAAGCAGGACCTCTTGGTTCGGGGGATATAAATAATTAGTAGATACTGTAACGGTGAAAATATTTTGAGCAAAATTTAATAAATTTCGCTATTTAAAATTATTTACTCTCCAACTGCATAAGTCATTCAAGTGCCTCCTTGCCTGTTTCAAATCCAATTGAGGCATCTCAAAGGAGGTCATTTTTGTTAGACTTGTAAGTTCATCCGGTTCTGTTTTAAACTATTACAACAGTAGCAATCCAAGCTCACTTCTAGCAAATATTATTCTCTTTGAGTTTCATTTTCAGATTTTCCTCGAAGTTTTTAAAACGTGTCTACTCCACACCTTTATATGAATGTTTCGTTCACCTCTTCAACCGATGTGGGATCTCACAATCCACCATCCTTAGGGACCCAACGTCCTTGCTGGCACACTTTCTCGTATCTGGCTTTGATACCATTTATAACAGCCAAAGTCTATGTTAGTAGATATTATCAATTTTGGGTTTTTTCTTTCGGGCTTCCCTTCAAAATTTTGAAAATGCGTCTGCTAATGAGAGGGTTCTCCACTACTATAAAAATGCTTCATCACTCTCTATAAAAAAATTTGAGAGCTCACAATCCATCTCTTGAAGGCCCAACGTCCTCGTTGACACACTCATAAATGTCTAGCCCTGATACCATTTGCAACAGTCAAATCCTGCCGCTAGCAAATATTGTCCGGTTGGTTTGACCCGTTACTTATCATCATCAACTTCATAGTTTTTAAAACGCGCATGATACGGAGAAGTTTACACACTATATATATGTATACACCATATATGTATATAGCAAATGTATGTATATGTTATGTATTAAGAAAAATGAAACTTTCTAAAATTGAAAGGAACAGGAAAAAAATTGACCAGAGCGACGGCGCCAGGCACCAACACGGAAGTCTAGTCGATTAAATAGAGAGAAGGGTAGTACAGTAATTTCAATAGAAGGACAATGGGGCCAGTTCCGTAATTATGCTCTAAAAGCAGGCGAAACTTTAGAAATAATTAAGAGAAAGCACAAAGAGGGGGCCGAAGTAAAAGAAAAAAAAATCGAAAAGAAATTAGGAAACGAAAGAAAGAAATACGAAAATTAGCGGACGCGAAAGGAAATAATTGAATGAGGATGAGAGTGGTTTTGAAATCCGGAGAACCGATCTCCTTCCCCCCCTCCTCCCTCCCTTTCCCTTCTCTGTCAGGGTTCTCTTTTGTCCCTCATCGGGTCAATTTCTCACTTTCTCGCTCCGGAGGCAAAAATTTTCCGCCAGCCAAGACGAGAGAGAGAGAGAGAGAGAGAGAGAGAGAGTTCGGAAATACGAAGGGCGGAGATTGTGAACTCGGAGTGAGATTGAGGTTTTGCATGTGATAGCGCAGAGCTTTTCAATCGGCATTGTCGGTTCCATCTGATTCCAAACCCTTTGATTCAGCCGTTTCAGTCTTTATCATCACGTACGCCTGTATTGGTTTTGATTCCATTTTTCTTCATCGTTTTGGTGGTTTCTGTTCAAGATTTGGTACGGAGTTATCCGTGTAGCTCGTCGTGGCTACCACATATTCCGGCGTATTCTCGATGTTACGCGTTCAGTGAGAAAAAGGAACAGCGATCGATTTCTCGAGTGGTTTTTGTTTGTTCTTTGGCGTTTGCCTTGGCTGGATATGGTATTTAGGATCTTTATTGTGAATAAGATATGTTCGTGAGGCTTCTTGTTTGATATGGTTGCGAAAGTAGTCGAATTGATTTCCGGCGGTGCTATTCGGCGCGCACCGTGTGTTGTGCGTTGAAAACGGTTGTTTTTTGAGGGTGCCCATGCTACTGGCCTCATTTTCATGCCGCCTGAACCATTGCCCTGGGATCGGAAAGATTTCTTCAAGGAGAGGAAACACGAGAGGTCAGAGTTCCTCGGACCTGTACCTAGATGGAGAGACTCATCCAGTCACGGATCCCGTGAGTTTAGTAGGTGGGGATCAGGCGATTTTCGTAGACCGCCAGGTGAGCTATACACTCGTTGCTTTCCTTTATGATTTCTTTTAGTTTTTTAGGTT